GGCAGAGGGAGCAGCAGCGGGCTGCGGCCAGGACAAGAGGGAGTCTGTCGGCAGCCAGGAAAATCGGGAAGAGAGAAAACAAACATCAGGAGTTATTTCCCACTCTCGTTCCCAGATTCCCCCTCTGTTTTCCCAACTTTGACGGATAAAACCGACTCTGAAGAGCTTTACAGTCGTCGCTGCATGACCACAGACCTGTGATGGGGGTGCCCGGGAGCTGGGCGGGCGCGGAGAGAGAAGATGGCCGCTCTCCGGAATGACAAACCGGAGCGGAAGATTTTCCTCCGGGAGGTGGTGGGAGCAAGCTCAGGCCCCCAGGACCCACGGGACGCGGTCTGGTGTTCCCCGTTGCTCCTTCTTTTTTCTTCATGTTCTGAAAGAAGAGACGGAGATTTGGGTGGTATCACGTTTAAACCCCGAGCCGGAGGCGTGATTCCTCCCAGCCACAGCTCGCACGACGCCAAATCGCTTTATTCTGGGGGAAAAAAAGCCCCGCTGTGCTGTGACGTCCCACTGCTGGAGGAGCAAGAGGGGTCAAACCGAGGATGTTTTTTACCCGCAAATCCCCACCACGAACCCACAGACCCGGTTCTGTAACCGGGAACTGTAACACCAACCCCCCTGCAAATCACCGCACGCGGCGTTATCACGAAGGGCTCTGCACCGGGATTTCGGGGCGAAGCCGCTGCTTCCTCTTGTGCCACCCAAGGGCAAAGGTCGGGAGCGGATTTAGCCGGAAAAAGCCCCTCACCGCAATGTTGAGTTTGATGGTTTGCCCCTCCTTGAAGCCCAGATCCAGTTTGGGTCCCTGATCGGGGTTCTCGGCCTGTCTGGCCAGCTCGCTCTGCTGCCTCACCCACCTGCAGGAATTAAAATGAGCAGAAAAGGACACGTCAACGACCAGCCTGAGGCTCTGCCGGACAAATCCTGCCCGAGATCATCCCCTCCGCCTGGCAGCAGCTCTTTAAAGGCGCTGGATGTGATCTGAGACCTCGCCCGACGGAGTGAGACGGTACGGGCAGCGCCAGGGGAACGATTCCCACCAGCGGCGGTCAGCGCCGGAGCGGCGCAGATCCCCCAGCCAGCAGCACGCCCCCCCCCTGCCCCAAAGCCCCACCGTCTGCCAGCAGCTGGAGCAGCATCCCAGTCCCCCAGGAGCAGCCCCTTACCGGCGGCACGTGAAGAGAAGGAATGAGGGGATTTGCCCAATTTCAGACTGGGAAGCCCAGTTTGGGATCCTAGTAACGCAGGCTAGGAAATATTTGAGAGAAGGAGAGCTGCCCGCGCAAAGGCTGAGCAGAGAAACGGGCATTTCCACCCCTTCACACCCCGCTCACCCGCCCAAGCGCGTGTCCTGGTTTCGGCAGGGATAGAGTTAATTCCCTTCCCAGTAGCTGGTACAGTGCTGTGTTTTGGATTTAGGATGAGAACAAAGTTGATAACACACTGATGTTTTAGTTGTTGCTAGGTAATGGTTACACTAGTCAAGGACGTTTCAGTTTCCCATGGTCTACCGACTGAGAAGACTGGAGGTGCACAAGAAGCTGGGAGGGGGCACAGCCAGGACAGCTGACCCAAACTGGCCAAAGGGATATTCCACACCATAT